AAGGGTCTTGCACCAAACAACCATTAGCAGAAAAAGTGATAGTGACACCAAGTTCACACAATTGACCAATAGATATAAGGTTTAATTTAAGGGCATGAATGTAATAAACATTAGAAAGAGATACAGTGGAAGTAGAAATTTGACCAATGTGACTAACAGACATATGAGAACCATTAGCAGTATGCATAGGGGTAACAGAAGAGGATGATGAGACAGAAGAAAATATAGTAGAATCAAAGGTCATATGATTATAACAGGTAGAATCAAAATACTATGAATGATTACCTGATATGACTGAAAAAGCAGGAAAGGGAAGAGTACCAAATTTGGCAAGCACCTGCTGGATAATAGACTCAACATCATCCATAGAAAATGATGGAGCAATAGGATCAGTAGAGTGGGGACTGCAAGAACTCTCTGATGCAGCAACAACAGTAGAACGAGAACTATGAACAGATTTGGACTGATGCCCAGAACGTAAAGACTCTTTCTTGGATGAAAAAATATGGGGAGCTCAAGGACAATTGGTTTGCAGATGACCAGCAGCAGTTTTGTGGCAAGTCAAGCAGTCATGAACTTGGCACTGAAGTAAAGAATGATTGGCAGGTAGGCCACAGTTGCAACAATAAATGCATGAGCTAGGAGGCTGTGAAGATGAAGAACATCATGATGATGGCATAGCAAGAGCAGAATCCATGGTTGGAGTTTTGAACATCCCAAAACAAGTTTTTTTTGACAAGAGTTTGGTAATGGCTTGCTCCAAAGTCGGTTCGGGCAGACGATGGAGCAAGGAAGCACACATAGGTTCAAAGGTGCTATGAAGAGCCATAAGAAACTGCAATAGCTCCTGATGATTGCCATGAACAATAAATAACTTTGCATCCTCCAAATGTGCCCAAGTAGGTTCAGAAAGAGCTAACTGGTCCTAGACAGATGACATTTGGAATAAAAAAAAAATCTTTGATGGACTGACTAGGCTCTTGGCACATGTGATGAAGAGTTTGTAAGAGTTGATGTTGGTGAGCATGGCCAGTAGTCTGATGGCGTTCCTTCAAGAAATCCCAAATTGCCTTAGTAGGAGAGACAATGGAATCATCATTCTAAAAGCGTCCAAACTGAAGGTTAATGGAAGGAACAGAAGTAACCCGGAACCATGTGATAATCTGGTAGTTCTTCATTTTCCATTCATCAAGACGCTCATTAAAAGTAGATGCAGTCTCTTTTTCTTCTTGGATGGGTTTAGAAAGAGCATCAGTGATAATACACCAAAGCCGCTTCCCTTTGATGAATCCAGAGAGAGCTTGGGCCTAGAGAACATAGTTAGACCCATCAAGTGTAACGGAGACGGAATGGATGTTGTAAGAACGATCCATAATGCTCAAACAGAGCAAATAATAATAATAATAATAATAATAATCATAATAATAATAATAAGGTGCTTTGTAGAGGCTAATTTTGCCAAAAAAGAACACACCAACAAATTCAAGAGGCCAAAAGCAGTGGGGATTTGGTTGAACAGACCAAAAACACGACTAGAAAGGCAGTGAATCGGCTGGTCAAAGTGGGTTGACCAATCTGATCAACTAGGGCTAATGTCACAGCAGTAGGAATGATGTCAGCACACGCAACACATGTTAGCAGAGAGGCGCGTGGCGTACGATAGTAGTAGGTGGAGCAGCAGCGACACATGGAAGCAACCAGTGGTGACGTCGGAAACACGCGACTCACGTTAACAGATGAGGCCGTGAAGCACGATAGCGCGAGACAAGTGCAGGAGACGTGCAGGGCGGATAGGAAAACGGTACAGCTTGGCCTATCTTCAGGTGGTGTGTAGGGCGTTAGATGAAGATGAGTCTGGTGGCATTGGCTTCTTCTTGAAGAGACGAAGAAGGTGGTATAGTACAATTGGTGAAACAAAAAAATGACTAGATACGCAGAAACCAACGTGAGAAGGAAGCAATCTGCCAGACAAAAAAAAAAAACATGATGTAGAAGAAAAAGAGGCTAAGAAAAAACCCTAGACTCTGATACCATGTTATGAGAGTTGAAAGAAAAGAGAAAAGAGAACTCTTGTATTCAATATATTAATGAAGAGGTGCACACTCCTTTATATAGGAGAGAAGATAAGTATATACAAAAAATATACTATATCCAGACAAAAAAAAAAAACCATGATGTAGAAGAAAAAGAGGCTAAGAAAAAAACCCTAGACTCTGATACCATGTTATGAGAGTTGAAAGAAAAGAGAAAAGAGAACTCTTGTATTCAATATATTAATGAAGAGGTGCACACTCCATTATATAGGAGAGAAGATAAGTATATACAAAAAATATACTATATAACATATACATACAAGGAATATACTAATATACTAAGGAATATACTAATATACTATATTAACAGTGCCAATTCAATGCCCATTATTCAAATCTACAAAATTGGAGTTGAACGAATAGCCTATGTTCGATTTCTTGATGCTGAACAAATGGGGTTTTTGTGGAGATTGGCCACCAAACGGACCTGTAACTATTGCAAACTGATTTGGGTGTTGCGTAGGGGTGGGAGGCAATAGTGGTACTTTGTAGGAGAGGGGTAAAGAAATGGGGTGGATCATAGGGGTGTGAAAGGGAGAGGGGTTATAGCGATTATATGAGAAAGAAGAGGGATTGGGTGGTTCACAAAGTGAAGAGAGTTGTTGGAGTGGTTTGTGGGACGGGGGAAAAGGTGGTTGGATTTGTCCTGGGTAAGGGAAAAATGGTGGCAAGCGGATATGGCATAGGTGCCATCGACAATGATAGTGGGGACGTATTTGACGAATTAGAATTTACTATTTGTAGGCTTAAAAGTCTTTTTGGTAGTTGTATATAGGGATAGAATTGTAAATTTCTTTTATTAAAAAAAAAAAGGTAAATCAAAGGTATAACGAGTTAATTTTATGGTTTAAACAGATGCCCCTTAATTATTGTCTCCCACTTGTGCAATTTTATGTACTAGTTGAAATGAGGAATATGTAAAATAAGATTTTACAATCAATATAGCCTTTTTCATTTTTATAAATTTGAGAAAATTTGATTTTTTTCGAATACAAATATACAAGTGAGGATTTATTTTTTGAATTTCAAGAAATGAATTAAGTTGATTTAATGTTTTTAATGAATAATTTCATCTAGTAGAGATTAATCTTATGCAATTTAACTTGTGAGAAAAATAATTTTAATGATTCTATAAATTTAGTATTTTTAACAAAGAGTATAAATTTTTTAATATGATACATGAATCCGGCACAAATTTAAAATAAGATGGTATAATCACACAAAAAGTAAATAAATTAAGAGTATTGTTACATCCATCGAATTTGGGCTTGCCAAAATTGTTCGGATTTGTGCATACTTGTCGTTCGGCGGACCATCTTATCGGTCGTTTGCCTAGTCATCCAGTAGGATGCCTGTTGACATACCGATAGACAAAGGTGACAACCGCGATAGACAAATGTGACAACTACAGTTAACAAAGGTAACAACCACGGTTAACAATGGTGACGCCGATTATTTAGACAGTCGTCCGGGAGATCTTCCGACCAAACGTCCAATTTATGTAATTCTAACAATTTAGGCGTGTTCAAATTCAATACATCAATCATTTTTCATAAATTAAATCATTGTAGAACAGAATCCTGCATCTGCAAAATGACAAAGACACTAAAACTACCCAGAGGCATATTTTCCACCCTAAAGCAATGTCATATAGCCTAGTAGTTGATTCATGAAATGATTACTTTGGAATCTCTAGAAATGATGGCACAGAAATGTCTTACTTGTAAAAATTATTCAATACGTTCAATAATATTTTATTTTATTTATTGATTTGCATTCTATATACTATTTCTTAAAATTTCAACACTTAAAAGGGATAATTTGGTTAAATTAAATTATTTAATTGGACATTGTACATTACATTGATATCAAATATTAAAAGGTGACATTTTTTTTTAAAATGTGCCAAAGTAATCAATATAGTAATGTTTGTTTAGAGATTTGGAGATGAAGATTGGATTCCGCTAACTCAATCAAATTTATGTTTAGTTTGAAAAAAAATGTTAGGGGATTAGAATTCTATGGAATTATGAAAAGCCTCTAATAATGGGAATAACATTCTTAGGGTGATTTGGGATTTCTAATCAAATTTCTAATCCAATCCCATCGGAAGTGAAAAGATTTTATTGTCCCACTTTTCAAAATCAATAAAGTCACAATTTATATAATACAATTTTTTTAAGTAATTTCGTAAACTTAATTTTAATCAACTAATACTACTACATTAATGTAGAGACAGACATAATTTTTTTTCTACATTTTCAACTTAATACAAGTATACTAATAATCATATTACTCAATTCCACCATATTAACAATTATATCTAACCGAATTCGACAAATAAAGATGGGCCACAAGTTGTTATTAGCATTTGCCTTCTCTAATTCATTTGATTGAATATTTTATTTTGGGATTATTTTTTATTTTATTGCTGTTGCTGTTGGAAACTTGTAGCATACTCTTGAATAATCATAGATAAATTTAATAGTAATGATCCATCTTTAAAATCAAGGTTTTAAAGTATAATGCTATTGGTGAAAGCGATGGAGGAGCTACTTCAACACGTGGAGGTTTCGAAGTATGCTGATTTCGTGCATGAATAAGCAATGGGTCAAGGAATAAGACTTTTAGAACGAAAATGTTTATCTGAAAAAAAAGGACTTTTTTTTTTTTTTTTGCCAAATTATTGTCTCTAAAGTGTATTTATTAGTAACATTTTTTAAGTTTTGTGGCTAATTTATTAATAATCAAGGTTTTAACATTTTTTAACATTATCCTCACAATGATTGAACTTGATCTACAAATATTTTTTGCAATAAGTTTCCCTTACGACAAAAAATTTGATTATTAAAAAGTCACATCTGTTATAGTGATTGCCACACTAAACTGTAGCCAAGACCAAGGAAGCCTTATGCATCATCCCTTTATATAATTCATCTTCTACACACCCATAAGTCTCATAATCTTAGCAGTCCTCTCTCTCAATCTCTCTCTCTCTCTCTCTCTCCATAGCTACTAAACTATGGGTTCGAATGGCGGATTTACGGTGGTGGTAAAGCGGAGAGAGGTGGTGGCAGCAGTGTTACCAATGCAAGAGCACTGGTTGCCTATGTCAAACCTAGATTTGCTTCTCCCTCACCTGGACGTAGGCGTTTTCTTCTGTTACAAGAATGAGCCCATAAAAATCAAAGCAAACGAAGATTGCCGCGTGGCGATCCTCAAGAAAGCCTTGGCTCAAGCGCTCATCTCATTCTATGCCTTTGCCGGAGAGGTGGTGGAGAACGGCCTTGGTGAGCCTGAGTTGTTGTGCAACAACCGCGGGGTTGATTTCATCCACGCTTACGCCGATGTGGAGCTCAAAAATGTCGATCTTCATCACCCATATGACTCTGTCCATGGAAAGTTGGTTCCTATTAAAAATCAAGGGGTGCTCTGCATTCAGGTGCACTAGTTTAATTTTTTTAAAGGAAAGATGTGGCCGTTTTCTAGTTTCTTTTTTAATCTAAACACATTTTATTATGACTTATAATTTTAATATTTTCATTAACATATCATTATGATTGAGTATTTTGTATAAAAATTTTGTTTATAAATTATTTTGCATGTAAGTACATATTTATGCATTCGTACGTAACTTTAATCACTTATTTGTCCACTTTGTAATCAATAAGGGTCCCTGTCACTACTTTTTGTTGAGTTGCAAGGCCAACAATTTTTTAGCTGGTTATATATAATTTTTGTTTCAAAATAAATTAGGTAAATTATGCTGGCCTTGAAATTTGAAAAAAATATAATAAGTTTTACAAATTTGATATAATTACTTGAGTTTTAATTCATATAATATTTAGTCCATTTTCATCAATAATTTGTTAGTTATATAGATAAAAAATAATGTCTTTTTTTTTTTACTCGAAAATATAAAATTTCTTTGTTTATTTTTGTATTTTTACATTATGTGTATTAATTTCGGTCTATTTAGTCTTACTTAAAAGAGAAATTCTGTCAAAATTATGAAATTTATTGTAAGTTTTAAGGAAGGACGGCATAATTTATTTAAATAAATAAAAAATAAAATCACAAAATATGTTTAGCAGAAAGGGACAGAGAGTTGCCAGAGGAAGAGAGGTTGAAGGAAGGAGGGTGGGAGTTGGTGGAAGGGGCAGTGGGAGGAGGGAAAATAGAAACCAATTTACAAAATAGGTTTTTTTTTCCTGTCATTTTTTTTTTATCATCATGATTATATTTTATAATTTTTTATCATTAAATTCTAGCTGGACATATTTTTATTAAATGATGATATACAAACATAAATTTTATATAGAATTTTCAAATGCAATGATATAACTTTTTTTTGATCGGCAAAGAAAAATTCCATTAAAACATGAAATTTACAGGTACAAGGAAAAAAAAATGCAATGAGAGAGATTCGAAATGTAAAAGCTTACTCTCCTACTACTGCTACTCGCGTTCTTACAACCAACCCTTTAGCCTCACGATGATATAACTTAACGGTGACTTTCACATTAAAACAAAACATCCATAAACATGATTTATATTTACAATAACATCACTATTACAACAATTTTTATGATATTTTTTTGTATAAATTTTGATATATGAGTATAATTTTTCATTTTTATTTCCACCATTATATCTATATTAGATCAATTTAATCTAGATATATTTAAAAAGTATAAAATTTGTACAGTTTTTTTTTTAAAAAAAAATCATTGAATACAATAAAATAAGATAATATATTGAATTTGTATATTTTTGTGTTTGTTGAATTTAAAAAAAAAATTACAAAATATTATATTTCTTAAATATCTAGATTATGTGTATCTAAAAAATAAAAATAAAAAAAAGTACTTAAAATATTAAAAAAATAGTAAAAAAAATCAATTTTTTGTCTGAGTTAAACCAAAGAAGATAATTGTTATTTCCCTTGAAATGACATGAATATAATATTTGAATTATTTTTATTATCTAATATGTATAAAGACTAATGGGCAAATATGTTATTTTAATCTGACAGAGAGGTAAGTGTAATTTTTCAAATGTGAACGAGATTTGTATTAAACAGAAATCTCAGTGTAATTTACCCCCAAAAAAATAAATCACTAAAGATAAAAACAAAAATCCGTCTATAGTAGATTTTTTTTTTCTTCAAAATTTATTTATTATTATTTTTTTATTTCGTTATTGAGTAGATTCTATAAATCTAAAATTTTTGGATTTTTTTTTTAAACCATTCACTAAAACGAAAAAAAAATTAACAAAAAAACTACTGAAAAGGTTGATCCTATTGGCCTGTTTGATAACGTTTATATTTATTGTTTTCTATTTATATTGATAGAATTTTTGAAAACTGTTAATGAAAACTCATTTTAGCTTCTGTTTTTGTACCAAAAAAGGTAGGTTTTGCTTTCTGTTTAATTTTTCTTTCACTTTTTCTTCTTCTTTCTCCTACTCTTTCCGACTACTACCCTTTACTCTTCCATTCCGATCTATCACGTCCTTGCCTCAATTTTATTTATTAAATATATGTATAATTTAAAAAATTTTAATATAATAAAACTAAAATATTAAAATATTATACTTAATATTCATTTTCTCTCATTTATTTAGTATTTTACATCTTTTAACTCTCATTAATTATAAATTATTATTTATAATATACTATATTACCTTTAATTTTTATTAATTTTTTTATTTTTAAAACAACAAAATTAATCTGTTCTTGCCCCACTCTCGCCGCACCCCCGATATGATATAGGTTGGGGACAAAGGATAACAAATCCGCTCTAAACCCACCTTGTTGTCATCCTTACTCATCGCTATTGACTACTATAACTAATGAACTCCTCCCTCAACTAACTTCAACCACAAGCTCTCTTAACCGCTAACCAACTGCCATTGCTACCAATCATTTCTCACTAGCAGTAACTGCCTTTAGCCACCACCTTTTCTTGAAAATCACTTTAGGCAGCCGACCAACCACCATCTCCAACATTGACAAATACTTTTGACCAAACTTCTCGTGGCTAGTAACGCCAACTGCCTCTTACTGGTGACAATAATTTTGGCCACTACCTCCAGTGGCGAACAACTACCTCCGACTACTATCTCCAATCGTCGACAATCACCTCCCGCAATTCCCAATTTCACTTATTTTTAAATATTTGTATACCAAACATGTTTTTTTGTTTTCATTTTAATCCAAAGTAAATATAAGCATGTTTAATATTTTTTGTAAATAAAAAATAATAAACTATAAATATTTCCAAACGAAAATATTCAATCTTCAAACAACTCCTAAAAATATTCGATTTTCTTTGAGTCAAAAGGCTAAAATGGAAAGGCTATTTGTTAAACATACACCTACTAAATTTCTCACTACATCTATTCTATACTTTGTAAATCGTTTTACCTCAAGGAAAAATCATTATACCTCAAACACACACATACAAGAAGGAAGAAAGATTGCTAGAAACGGCAATTATGTTTTAAACATCTACAAGATGAGTATGACTCCTTTTTATACCATATTGCTCTATACTTCATTTTCAGGGTCTTATTTTTGGGCCCACAACAATAATTTGAATCATCTATCTCGTAAATTTTACAGTTAAAATTATCTGTGCGCAAGGTCACTTTCATCAAATATTAGGAATAAATGAATAAATTGTATTTTGTTTTATAAAATGAATGATTTAAATTTAAATTCATAGTTGCCATCTATTTTTTTTTTTTTTTAAATGTAATTTATTCCTATGCATAGTGATGTTTGATAAAATTGATTTTTTGCACAACACACTTTTATTGATAGACCTACCAGATGAACATTGTGGATCATTGCCCTGAACTCGGGATGGAACCCACAAAAGTCTGGAGGATAGTGCTATAGTGGGAAGCTATTCTCCTAAAGTACTCAATAATATATTCCAAAGTTAATTGGTGAAATGTTTATTTCTATGGGGCATACATTATTTAGTCTGAGGTTCTTTTTGGTGATAAGGACACTTGTTGAAAAGTCGTTGAAAAATTGGTTAAAAAGTATTAGAAAGTCACATTAGTCGGCGGCGACGTGGACAGTTAGGTGACATTTGAACTAATAATTAAGTGATATTATTAGTACTCCATCAATTATTTTGGACCTTCTATTTCTTTAAGCCAAAACCAAACCAAACTAAGCCTTAAATTTCATCAAATGGGGTCGGTAGGCTTTATGTCATAAAGGATCCGAACAGTTTTTTTATATGTTTGTTGTTGGCTACCTAACACACAACCCTCCTCCTTTACCTGGACCTGGGACCGGTGGAGTTGTTAAGTAACTCTGGTGGAGTTCCCCATTTCCTTGTACCTTTACTTATAAATTTTAAAACCTTAAAATTTATTTTCTACCCCCAAATAATACCAAAATTATCCTTGTGAAAGCATTTCACCCATTCAATTGAATGCATACCCTCCACATCTCAAAAAATCTCTCTTCCAAAACCCTAACAAAACCCATAAAAGTGATTACTATTTCATTTCCACAAACTTGTTCATGACCTTACAGTGGAAAAATAAATGTAGGGCTTTTAATCTTCAATCCTTAGAATATATCAACAAAAAATTGGGTTGGGGATTTTTATGCTTGAGAAAGAAGAAGAAAAGTCAAGTGTGATTACTCTTAATTGCCTTGGCATGGAATGTGATCTCTGCTGCCTCATCATTTTTTTCAGTTTGAACATTGTCATAGTTGGTTATCTGTTCCAGAACAAATAAGAAATGTCCCAGAACAAATAAATAATGTTCGGCTCTGTGTTTCTGAATTTCGGTCATATGTTCGGGAGTTCGGTCTCGAAAAAATTACAAACAATTTTTATTATTTTTGTTATTTTTTTAAGAAACTTACTGTTATAAGACCGATCTCCTCTGAACTAAGAACACCATCAAATTTATGAACCTCCTTTGAGCTTTTATTGTTGTACTCCTCTCGTCTCATGAAGTTGTGGTTGCCGAAAAATTTTTCACTCATTGTCATTACCGGAGAAGTGTAAGTAATTAAATGGTTGCCACCGTCACTGCCAGAATATTTCCATCAAAGAGTTTTCAAGTTTTTGGGGGTAGGTGAGTTTTGAAGGTGGGATTTAGGGAAGATGGGTGGGTGATGATGGAAATAGATGCTCTTATAAATCCTAATTCATGATGTAGTGTGCGTGTGGACTTAATTATGAGATGGAGTGTCCCAAAATTATTGATATCATTTTTAGTAATTTTATTTAAGCTTATTATTGTAATTAAAAAAAAAGCTAAAAAAATGAGAGGTCCAAAATAATTGATGCAGTATTAATAGCCGCACTCATAATTAAACAAATAAGTGACATGTGTACAGATAATGCCCTTTTAGTCCAAAAATATTTAATTTTACACATATTAGCTCAATAGTTTCATAAATAAATCTTTAACCTGATCGCCCTGTATTCCAATGCAAAACGGAAATTCTTCTCTACTTAAATTTGTCCAGTTTTTATTTTGTATTACTATGATTATTATTATTATTATTATTTTTTTCCTTGAATTTGACAAGTTCATGGCTATCAAACAGGCGACAGAGCTAAAATGTGGTGGGCTTGTGATTGGATGCACATTCGATCACCGGGTTGCCGATGCCCACTCAGCCAACATGTTCTTCGTTTCATGGGCTGAGATTGCTCATGCAAAACCAATCTCCGATATACCATGTTTCAGGCGATCACTACTCAATCCGAGACGCCCAGGCTATTATGATCGATCCATTGACAATATCTATGTCTTCCTATCGTCTCTACCTCCAACAAAACTACTAGAAGATCCTGAGCCCAATGAGGATTCCCTCCAAAGCCGCATTTACTATGTTGTGTCAGAAGAACTTATCTGTCTCCAATCGCAAGCCACCAGCTCTAACGGTATTAAGAGAAGCAAACTGGTGTCTTTTAGTGCCTTTTTGTGGAAACTTATAGCTTCTGCTGAGAAGTCTGAGTCTGAGTTTGGGTCTAACTCCAATAAAAGATGTAAGATGGGTGTTGTCGTTGATGGGAGAGGGAGATTGATGCTAAACAACAACATCAAAGCAGATCATGAATTGGAAAAGTATTTTGGGAACATTCTGTCCGTTCCATATAGTGAAGCAAGCGTTGGCGAACTAAATGCAATGCATCTAAATAAGGTTGCAGAGCTTGTACATGATTGTTTGGAAGGCGCTGCAACAGAAGAGCACTTTCTAGGGCTCATTGATTGGGTGGAATTCCATCGGCCAGAGAAGGCAATAGTGAGAGTTTACTGCAAAGAGACCGATGATGAAACTGCTGTGGTTGTGTCATCTGGACAAAGGTTTCCGGTGTCAAAGATAGATTTCGGGTGGGGTAAACCATCTTTTGGGTCATACCATTTCCCATGGGGAGGCCAAACTGGGTATGTTATGCCAATGCCAAGTACAAGCAGGGATGGTGATTGGATTCTCTACATGCACCTCCATGAAAAACACTTGGATTTTGTTGAGTCCCAGGCACCCCATTTGTTTAGGCCATTAACTCCAGCGTATTTAAACTTGACGCCTTGATGAATCTTAGCTTTTGTCTTGGGAAAATCAGACTGGCTTGCAAAAAATATGTATTATTATTGATGTGTAGCACATTGTGGTAGGTTATGCCAAAATCTGCCTACTATGTGTTTGACAATATGTCTACACAAGATATTCACATGTCTCTGCCTCCATAAATTGTCCACCAAGTGCTTATGAATATGTCAACCCAAAATTCAATTGTGTTACCGTATCTCATCGCTTAGCATAGGCACAAATACAAAACCATAAAAAAATAAGTAACTAAATTCCAGTCCTTGGATATTTATAGTAGGCAAAACTATACTGTCATGTTAAAAAAAAAAATTAATAATAATAAATAAATAAAATAAAATAAAATGAAAAGACAAACTTGCTTTTGTTTTGAAGTTCATACACTTGCAAGATGTTCAAGTATCTTCAGAACAAGAAAAAACACACACAAAAATAAAGGCTCCAATTTATTCAGTGTTTAAGTAGAAAGTTGCTATTGTGATTGGGCCTTCAAATCTACTTAGAATTCCAAACAGATTCTTAGACATTCAAAAGCTTCCATTAATATTCTTGATTTATGATCCACTTGACAAGAAATAAACCAAACAAAGAAACAAGATCCAAAATACGATGAATTTTCTAACACTTTAGAACTAGAATTTCAAATGTTTAGCCATATCTGATTTCATGAGCATAGATACAAATATAAAAAGATTAAAAAAGATTCTTAGACATTCAAAAGCTTCCATTAATATTCTTGATTTATGATCCACTTGACAAGAAATAAACCAAACAAAGAAACAAGATCCAAAATATGATGAATTTTCTAACACTTTCGAACTAGAATTTCAAATGTTTAGCCATATCTGATTCCATGAGCATAGATACAAATATAAAAAGATAAAAAAAGATTCTTAGACATCCAAAAGCTTCCATTAATATTCTTGATTTATGATCCACTTGACAAGAAATAAACCAAACAAAGAAACAAGATCCAAAATATGATGAATTTTCTAACACTTTAGAACTAGAATTTCAAATGTTTAGCCATATCTGATTCCATGAGCATAGATACAAATATAAAAAGATTAAAAAAACATAATGAATCAGTGACCATTGTTTGGCCATATGTTATACTACAATTAATTTGCTTCAGGAGTAAATACAAAAAGTGCTTCTACTTTAATTTTATCGGCTAAAATAATAAGACCTAACACTTTTGTATTTTTTTCCCACCACATGGCAGAATAAATATCCTAAGATGAGTGGTGTGGAGTAAAACTCCAAAATCACCAAATAACTTCTCCAGCATGGCTTACTAGTTGATTTAACTGGTATGTTCAATTTTTTTAAATAAAAAAACATTCAAATGATTTTTTACCCTTTTGTGTTTTTCTTTTTGATTTACAAAAAATCAAAAATTACTTACCCAAAAAAAAAAAAAAAAAAAAAGAAAAATTCAAAAATCAAAAGTTCAATAGGCTTGTTCTCACTGGGCAGAGACACTTAGCCTATAGTGGCCTAACTCCTTTCAATTCAAAACTAAACATTGGGGACAACTTAGACACTGATCAACATCATTTGTAAAGATGTTGAAATTTGATAGGGTGACTTTGTTTTTTGGCTAGATCTAACCTTGATATCACTGAAATAACATTATCAAAAAAAATGAAAAAAAAGAAAAAGAAAAAAGGAAACTTTGCAAATTGTAACTAGTCAAAAAATGATATTAGCCTTGTCAATTTGATCATAACTGTTAGTGATGATCTAAAAGTGTCTTTAACACAGTTGGGAAAAAAAAAATTAACTTCAAAAAAAGTTAACTTCGAACTATTTAAACATGAAACATTTGGGATCAAATTCCAATAACCTTGAGACCGCATTGTAAAAATTCATGTGATCATCACTAGTAAAGTGCTAAGCCATGAGACTCATAGTGAGTAGAGACACTCATAGTGAGTAGAGACACTCATAACAGTTGTTGGAAGATTCAATCTCAAAATAAGGGATCATTTTCTAATAATTACGGAAGTTAGCAATATGCAGCAGACGGATGTTAGAAGTGGGAGAAAGAATAGGCTACACTTTAGGGGAAGTGCCACTGTATTCTTTGGAAGTATAGTCATAGAGCAAAGATGCTAAATCGACATAAAAGTATAAATATTCCTAAACCTTGAGGGAAAGTGAAATCATCATCAAGGTTGCTTAATTTTCCTTAATTTAAACCATACCCATTTACAGATCTATAGAGAAAGTGAGTTGAGTGCCATTTTAGCATTGCTTAATTTTACATGTTTTAAATTTTTAAAGATTTTTAACTTGTCGATTCTTTTATCTTGACTTTTAAATTTTCTATGAAAAGGCTATCTGGGACAGATGGGCTTTATGAAACATTTGGGAATTTATGCTTAGCTCACAACAAAGAGTTTGAATGCAGAATCTTGAGCTATATTCATTTTTCCTAACCTTTCTTATCTTAATTCACGACTCCCTGAACAATTTTGAATCTTTCATAGAAGTTTCTAGTGTTATGTCATCAATTAGTTTAGGTAGTAAATGATTCGAAGCAGACAATGGACATTTTGCTCTTTTCAGAGCAGTTAGCAAAATTGTTAAATTTTCTTCAAGGTCTAATTTGTGGACTTATGTATATGTATTTTAGACCAAGTCTGGTGCTTTTATGGCTTAAGTAGAACTATGTGTGGACTCGACTTTTTTCATGCGCCCCCCCTTTTGGAGAGGCGCGAATTGGTCTCCGACAGTTCGAACTCCCGTCATGGTTCTAAATCTAATCTCACAAAGTACAATGTAAGATTGATAAATCACCAAAGAGTTCAAATCTGACAAATCGTTTTGAAAAATCGATTTTAGATCAAATAATGCCAAAATTGGACTGCTTTGCCAGATTACAGAGTCACCACCTAAATATTTTATTTTTGGAAAATTTAGGAAACCCTGACCCGTGCCAAAGGCCACGTGTCCGTCATCACCAAAGTTGCATCGGCTCGGGAACAAGGGTGCGAGAGGGAAAGGTCCTAAAATGAGCACCCCCGCACGCCCGATCAAAGATCAGCCTCTACTAAGCATGATATGTTGTTTTATAAACACACGTGTTCTTATTCCGGTTATTAATCTAACTTACTATGTGATGCGCACAGTATACAAATATAGATTCAATCACGAGAATTGGAACAAAACAACTCATGTTTGTTTTTCGAAAATGGTTTGAAAATGTCACTCGCAAGTGGGCTAAAGCGCGGATTTTGCCATCAAACGTGATGGGCGTAAAACATGATGATTTGCCACTTCGCAAAGTAGGCTTAAAACTCACATTTTGTCGAATTGTCCCAATTCAAGCAACAAAGCCTTTATCCACAGGTATTCATGTAGTTAATCACTTAAGCAAATAGCCTCATGATGGCAACACTCACACTCATGCAAGTATGCTAAAGTGTAAAACTTACAGTATACTTCGAGCCAAAACAAAAGATAGTTAGAAATATGCACGATCCCTAACTATACAAGCAATGTCTAATGCAATACATGCAAAATGCAATTAAATAGGCTCGGCTATCTAAGATGGCATACGAATGCAACAGTTGATAACATGCTTTGAAACACGTATTCAAGTAAGTGTATTCAAATACGATGCAGTTTGAATAATGTGCCGAGCCTGGTGCATGCAATACGAATGAATGGGTGCAAACATGCAAGCATAAGGTATGTTAATCAAAACATGCCCTTAAACTAACCATCGAAAGCGGTTAAATAAAAGAGAGAAAGAAATGGGGTTACAAGACATGCACACACTCACTCACACTTATTACAACATTGTGCCCTCACGAAGGAAAGTCCGAATGAATAAGAGCTACCTCTAATGAGAATTAGCATATGTTCTGCAGGATGCAAACAAATGACAACATTAATAAATAAAAAATTTGGGATGCAAAGAATGTAAAATTTTAGTAATATTAATAAAAAAAATAGGAGTAAAAAATTTTAGGCAAAAAATTTAAGTATAAGTTTATAAATTATTTTTGTATTAAAAAAATATAGATTATAAATAGAATAACTAGTTTATTGGGAAAAAAAATAAAAATTTCTCATATCTATTAAAAATTTATAAATATTTAAGAACATCTAGAAATTTTTATTATTATTTATAATTACAATATAATTTCTCTAGAGAATGAGAGGGTTTGGGACCAAAGCATGTATAGATCTAGAATGAGAGGGAGTGTGGCATAAGTTTTTAAATAATTTTTTTTTTTTTACTTTTTAAATTCAAATAATTTACATATACTTAGAAGGAAAATATTTTTTAATTTTCTAAAAAAATCACTAAATTAAAAAAATAAAATTTAATAGTTTACGAAATAAAATGTATGTTGTCTTAAGTGCAAATATTTTATAACATATTTTTGTATACCGTGAAAATATACAATTTTTTACGGCATACTTTTGCATGTCATAAAAAAACCGGATTGAATTTTTTATTTTTGTAGAAGTTTTCACAACATTCATTAGCATGTCGTGTAAAATTATAATATTTTACAATATGAAATGTATGTCATTTTAAGTGCAAATATTTTACGACAGATTTTTGTAAGTCGTAAAAACATACATTTTTTACGGCATACTTTTGCATGCCATAAATATATGAATTAACGACTTACATGGTATGTATGCTGTTATTGACAAAACATTAATGACTTGCAAAAATAAATGTCGTAGAATGTACTAACTACGACATGCATTTAACACATGTTGTAAACATAATGCCATAAATAGTTAGTTTTGTTGTAGTGAATCGGTTTGAAACGACTCTCAAAGTAAGGAAGAAGCCAAGAAATGAGAGAAGTATATATATGATTAAAGATGAACACAAATATGGAAATAAATGCTATCAACTCAAATAGGTTAGTGTCTAATGCCTAAAACACCAAACCTATGAGGACCGTTACACTACAAGCATGCAATACAAAACATAAATGACATGAACAACTTAAAACAATCCTAAAATAGGCTAAAACAACACTGAAATTAAGGTAAAAACATCTACAAAAGCAAGCTAAAATAATGGAGCAATTAAGCTAGTAAACAAGCCAAAAGAGGGGAGGCTAACCCCTCCATTTTTTGGAATTCAAAACAACATTTTAGCCTCTGAAAAAAACTTTGAAAATCAGAGATATAAACCACAAAAAGAATTTATGAAAAGAT